TAAAAAAAAAAAAAAAAAAACTGGTGCCTTTATGTTATGATTTGGCTTAATGAGGTACCTGCTAAACTTCATCATCTCCCCTGGCAACACCCCACTTACCACCCAGTTGGCTCAAGCAGTACAACGTCCGATTTGTATTCAAGAACTGCCCAGTTTGATTCTTAGCTGAGACAGTTCTTTTGTGGTTTTCTTCAGTCTCTACAGGCAAATGTTGCTGGTGTACCTCAAATCAGGTCACGCCCTTTTCAATACATCATTCACTAATAATTCTAATACCTGATGCAATATAGTCTAAGCCCCAAATAAATAAACTCCTACTTCCTCATTATACTATTCATTACATCACATTATCTATCAAAGATACAACTACTGAGCCACAAGATAAACATCCTAATTTTTAAGCATATGTCCAGAACTCTGATTTTTCATTTCATGATTAACTGATATAGCTATCAAAATCGGAAAATAGTGATCAGCTGGGTCAGATATTTGTCTTCCTCCATACTTTTCTGGTTTACACAAACTCTACCAAGATTATTCAAATAAATATAAAATGAACTGAAACAATATGTTCTCACCTGTATGAGGATACAGGTTGTCAGCCATGACTGTTACAGCTCTTGCTATATGATAACCAGGATCCAGTAGCAATATCCCTGGCCTTCCTGCCACCTCCACACGCAGTGCTACGAGCACATGCTCCTTCTCTACAGATGTCTTGCATGGTTCCTCTCTGATGTAACCATCTACATCCTCAATTGACTGTAAACAAAAATGTTACTAAATATTCACCTGCATTGCAATATAATACCTTACAGTTTATACAAAAAAGTCTTCTTTTAATAACAGCAGCCCAGAATATAGTTCTGAACTTTCTGCAGTATTACATATACTACATTAAGCATCATGTAGTATTTCCTTAAAGGAATTACCAATTTTCTGTACTGACAAGGATCTGGAACCTATATTTCTGCAAAAGCTTCATCTTAGGTGACCTGCCATATTCATATTCCTACACTTATCAAACTATCCGTTCCATGTTCATGGAGCAAGAGAGTTGATTAGGATATTACACATATAATAAGAAGTCTCTATAAATTTCTTTGCATGTCATGTTAAAAGTCACATTGGTACTGTCTTGTGGTAAACATATTTATGGTTTCATCTGCTTGACATTTTTAAAAACAGCCCTGTTTTCTGCCTTGTCAATAGATTAATGGATAACAAAGATATAAGAGTTTCATAGTTGGAGATGTTAGAATTAAACTTATTCTGAAATGCATGTTCCTCTGAATCCCACCTTCCTATAACATTCAAATATATACATCCTAGAAGACATAAGTACTCTATCACAGTTTACAATTAAACCTTACATGATCACAAACATTTAGACAAGTGTCATCAAATACTCTGTCAAAATTTACCATTAAATATTATATGATCACAAAAGTTTAGATGAGTATCATACATTATACTGAAACTTTACAAATAGTTCCTTGATTTCTATGATCATGCATAGCAACAGAAAAGCCAATAAATTATTCACGATTAAATCCTATAATAATAATTAATGGTTAATTCCTGTGTAACTTAAGTTAACAGTACAGGGGTTCATTAAATTCTCTAAGACAAACAAAAGAAATATTCACAACGCAGACTACCAATTAACAGAAAATGAATGGGATATTTTAGTCTTTTCTGTGTGTTGGGAAATTCAAACACATAAAATATGACAATTTTAGTTAAATGCAGGTGTACTTCAAGGGCACGCAGTAGTGTAGTTGGGTGAGGCTCTGTCCTACAAGCCGGAATGTCACAGGTTCAAGTCCAATGAGGTCATTGGATTTTTTTCAACTGACCTAATCCTTCCAGCCACACTATGGCCATGGGGTTGACTCAGCCTCTAACAGAAATGAGTACCAGGAATATTTTTGGACTATTCTTGTGGGTAAACGGTGGCCAGTGCATAAAGCTGACAGCCTTGCTGCCATCTATGAGCCCATTGTCTAGAAAATGTGAGAACTTCAACATCTCACAACCCTATGGGCCTCCATGGCCTGTTACAGCGATACCTTTACTTCACTTTACTTCACTGCAGGTGTACTTACTTCTTCACAAGAGGCCAAATACAATCGACTGGTAAGCCCAGGAAACTTGGTTTCAAGGTTGGATAATCGTCGCAATAATTCAAGTGCCAACCCAACACAGGTGTAATGCTCAGGTGTAACTGGTGGCAAGTAACTGCGGTAGAAATGAACCAAGTTGGACTCCCCACTTGCACGGAACGCTTCATAGAACCTATAAACAATAAACAACCAATAACACTAATGATAATAATAATAATTTCCATATAAAGTAACATTGTAACATATTTTTACTTAACCAACATGAAGGTAACATTCTACTAATAAATGCTGCTAATAAAACAACATGGTAATTTCTGTTTCCAAGAAAATCAATACATTCTTTTTAGGGCCACAAAGACAAAGAACCTCTCACATGTTTGGAGCACTCTGGAATTCAAAACCCTCAATGTGGAATAAATTATACAGACTCTTAATGTATAAGGGACAGTAGAAAATGCTAATGTGCTTGGTTGCTTCAATCTTAACAACAAGATTGTGGCTGACTGATTCATTCATTCATTCATTCATTCATTCATTCATTCACAGTCTATGGATCCTTACATGGCTGGAAGACCAGTGGATATAGAAATAGTCAAAGACACAAGCCAATTATATAGATAAAAATTAATTATACTTAATTCATAACAATTACTCATGTTATCCGAGACCAATCACGACGAGTAAAGCATTAAACAGTTTAACTTAACGGGATGCTGAAATACAGAATCATTAAACAGTTATTTTAACCATAAATAATGAGAAAAAATATGTACTGTGACTGGAGGGGCAAAACTTTCAGTTTCATAAACAATTCCCTGCAAGAGTCTCTACTTCTAGAATTAGTAATAATTCTAATTGCCCTTTTCTGTAGCCTATAAATATGAATATTATGAAGAGAACTGGCCCAGAAAATTATACCGTAAGTCATATAACAGAATGAAAATATGAGAGACATATGACATATAAGGTTTAACAGCCTTGATTGCATAACAGGCAGAACCTAATTTAGACATAAGCCAGTTGACATGTCCTTTCCATGGAAACATATTGTAGATAATTAATCCAAGAAATGTGGTATTAGTAGATTTAGCAATCTGATTGTTACCATAGTCAATATGCATATCCACTGCATGGCTATTCTTAGTCAAAAATTGTATAAGGTATGTTTTATCAAAATTTAGTGTCAAGAAATTAGTTTTAAACCAATCATTTATGTTTTTAAATATCTGAATAATGTTTTCATAATCTAAAGTACTGGAATTCGTGATAATTATACTGGTGTCATCTGCAAAAAGAAATGGTTTGGATTTACTAATTATAATTTTTGGCAAGTCATTTCTATACAAAAGAAACAATAAAGATCCCAGAATCGATCCCTGGGGAACACCATTATTAACTTTGCTCCATCCGGAATGAATATGCCAATTACTGATTACAACTCTCTGGTGTCTTAATATTGTGCATCCTGTTGCGTGTCATAAATAAGAAATATAAGGTATAGAATGTATTGTCTAGACAACAACAATCAATATTAAAACAAAGAAGATGCTACTGTATCAACATTTGCTTTTATTAGGTTTATTAAAGATGGAACATGTTTCGACCTTTATGTGGGTCATCTTTAGACCATACGTCTACGCTGTAGCGACAGCATCAAGGCATTGCCCGCACATATACCATTTCATAAGTACAACCTAATGCATATCACTTCTGTAGATTGAGATTAAGCTCTCAAAACTGTACCAAAGGTCACGGCTACATGACCCGTTCTATTGAGAAGATCCCGCTCCCCATGCTGTAGTCACTCCTTGGGGCTAAAAACAAAGCCTACATGTAGCAGTCGCCAAGTGTTACCAACAAAACACTATTTCAATTTGTCATGTCTTAAGCTTTGTTCTCTTGTTTTAATGTTTTAATTTTCTTATCTTCACTTCTGTAATTTTTATAAAACTTTTATTTAAAGATTATAGCTTTAAATTTCGCTAAAGATTTGTTCTACATTTACTTTCAAATATAATTTTCCAGATACAAGAAGCGTCCTTATTCGTTGAATAAAATGGCAACTGATTGCAATTCAACAGCTCAGACTGGAACATTGTACACCTGAAGATGACCCGCGTAAGGGTCGAAACATGTTGCGTCTTTAATAATCCTAATAAAAGCAAATGTTGATGCAGTAGCATCTTCATTTTGAATACTGATTGTTGTTGTGTAGACAGTACATTCTATACCTAGCGCCCTCCATAGTCTAGAGGTAACGTTCCCACCTCATGACTCGTGGTACACGGGTTCAAACCCGGCGGAGGACGTGGAATTTTTAAGGGCGGAAAAATTCAGGGAACAAGTCCTCCGGGAGGGACTTTAAGCCGTGGGTCCCTTGTCGTAGCTTTACGGCATGTAAAAGAACCTCATATCTCCAAAAGAGGTCACTGAGGCAAATTCAGGACGTTTCCCGCCCAACAGTAGTCTCCAACGCCTCTCATAGATGGGGGAAGCATTATAGATACCGCCAAGCCAGTAGAGGCCGAACTCGCTGGCTCAGTTGGGACTGATGGTACACACCAATATCGGTAGGGTATAGAGACTGGTAGAATATCGTAGAGGGAAGCACAATGGACCAATACTGGTCTAAGTGCATGAGAAAAACCCACCCTCTCCAATAACTAACTAACTAACTAACTAACTAACATTCTATACCTTATTATATATGTTACCTCTGGTATCTGTCTTTGAGGCAGGATTTTACCAATGCATTGGCCTTACGAACTATTCCATAAAATTCCAGTTTAGATAGTAAAATGTCATAACTGACACAGTTAAAAGCTTTCTTCAAATCAAACTGAAATTATGACAATTTTCACAGATAATAACTATGACAACAGTTATTAAATTTACTTAACTTAGTGAAAGAAACTGAAGTTTGGTCCAACTGGACAAATGTGGATTATCGATACATAAAGGTTTCAACACATTTATAGATGTACTTCATTAAATTCAAAGCAGATCAACAAATGTTTCAGGAAGTCTGATACAATTCCAGTCCATACTAATGCACAACAGTTGAACTAAGTCACTCTAATTAGAAGCAAATGTGTAGTGTTCTGAACAAAGTCAAATGAGCTGTGACCACACCAAAATCAGTGGTTGCATCTCTAGGAATATTTGGCTCATCAGTAAAGCGTCTACTATGCATTTAGGAAACATACAGTTCATAATCTCAGTCATGAAACATAGTAACCAGGAAATTCCTGCAACTGTACCTCGAAACAGGTCATCATTCTGCATCCTTTCTCATACACCAAAGTCCTTGGTTTAGAATCTTTCCTGAACAGTAAACAGAAACTTGCCCCCCCATCACATTTTGTAATCTGAATGTGCACCACTGGGGTACTGTGTCAGTTTATTCAACTTCACATCCTAGCTTACATTCCAAAGATCTGTTTCAATACTTTGCTCCCATCTTAATTCTATTTTTCAAAATGTCTGTTTTATTTACGAGGTTTTTCAACCAGAACTTTGTGAGATTTTAGGTTCTCATGGATGTGAAGTCGTGCAGTATACAACATCACATCCCAAAAGACTGTAATCTTGAACTAGAAAATTGTATTTATTTACTTTCCTCTAGTGGTACATTGGTACATTCCCCGGTTATCTTAACCTCCCCATTTTAGTCACAATAATGATATCAGGTAAGAAGCACAAATACCAAAGTTCAATGTGCACTTTCATTTTTCCATTCTCCTGATAATTCATCTTTCCAAATTCTCTTAGCATTTTATTCTTTATTATTATCAATCTCTAAGACTACGTTATTTGAAACTCCTTATAACGGACCCCACCGAGTGCCAATCCCTTCTTTTCACCTAAGGACAGAAGCGCACCCAGTTTTCAAAAAGTTGTGTTCTTTCAGAATATTGTACTACAGATAAATTTCAGACACTCGGTAACACAAACTGTACTACACAGCTTCAACCAGATCAGATTAAGGCTGGTCTCTGAGAACATGTCCCACTGGCCTAATTGGTTCATTGGCAGGGAAAGTATGACTCTTTGGTTTTTAGAAAGTCTTCTCCACATGTCATTTGTAATCATGCTTCCATTTTATGCGCCTGACCCAGAACTGTTACACTACAAATCCACACTCACCTGAGCAGGTTGCCAACACTGTTGTAGTTATGTGCCTGACCCAGAACTTTTACACTACAAATCCACACTCACCTGAGCAGGTTGCCAACACTGTTGTAGTTATGTGCCTGAAGTAGCTGCTGTACAGTCAATTCAACGTTTGAGGCAAGGTCCTCATACTGTTCCACATTTGGCACACTGAGTGCCAATTTTGGGCTACCCCATGAGGGAAGAGGCAAAGGGTGGCCCTTGGGCCACTCGCCACTCCCCGTTAGCTGTTCCCGATCTTCAGTCTCGAGTCAACTCGGCCACTCACTTCCCCAGCGGCCAACCGTTGGCACATACCCAGACTCATCCCTGCAGCTGCTTATAGGCTGTACAGGGGGATCCGTTAATAAGAGACTCTTCTCACGCTCTGCAATAAAATACCATTTAGGAAATGCCGCTTCAAAGTAATGAGTATTAGAATATCCCTCTTCCTTCACTGTGGATTACATAACACGTCTATCATTTTATAAGGCTATCAATTGCTTCATTATTAATCAAGTCAGTCACTGAATGGAATCAAGCTCAGAAAAGAATGGCAATTGTTACACTGTCAGCTGGGCCACCTCATATTATTGATATTAGAATAAAAGCACTGTCCCCTTCACTTTAAACCTTGGGGACTTTTATTGTGAGTGAATTGTGTGGTCCACCATGTGGGAATGATTCCTGGTAGAAACATAACTGTGATAACATCCTAGTTGGTGACAAAATATTAATGTCACCCCAGAATGTTGGAAGCAGATTCTATTAGTAAAGCAGCATAACTAAATCTTACCTTAATACAACACTCACTTGGTACAAGGCTGGTAAAGACGTTCCACTTTCGTAAACTGAATATACATATCTGAATCCTTAAATTTAGAAAGTCTGAATAGTGTCGACCTACTTTTGTATTCCAATAGCAAAGAATCTAGTTCCTGTGTATTATAACCCAGAGTTTTAAAATTTGCAGAATCGCCCGCTACTTAAAATCAGCGCGTTTCGGTAGTCATTCTCGTGGGCTTGTTTCAATGTGTGGTCTGATGACACCTCCACATGTCTTGCTTTCAGCTGTTCAATTGTATTCTGACAAGGTTCCCTGTCAGTTGGAGACAAGCTGACATACAGTGAGAAACATTTAAAAGGAAGGGCGAAAAAAAATTGTAATTAAAACAACAAGCAACGGTCGCATACCTCTTGCGCAGTCTGCCACAATCAGTAACTGCGTAAATAACGGAGCATGAATATGGCCGAGCAGTGGTCACGTTAGCTTGTCTATACTTCGCACATGAAACAGTACAACATGAAATGCTAATAAAGACTCTCGGAATAAGAAAGTTGCTTACCCATACAACGTAAACCACCTATCAGTAGAAAGTGTCGACCCTCCAGACAGAAAGTCCCAAATTCTACACCAACCACACCGAAGTCCAACACTGAACTAACTTATCTTTCCCGGAACTAGTATTTATAGTTGAGGGTCTGGCTTGAACCAGTTCCAACACTTCACTCCCCTTCCCCCCCTGTCCCACAGCTGTTCACACGACACTAGTTCAACAACAATGCCTAAGCAGCACCATCATGCCCAGCTGTTAATAAGTAACATAAATCACTGAACACCTTATTTTCCAAAGGCGTCTCCTGCACGACTGTTACGTCGACGCCGACGTCGTGACGTCATGATCAATAGTTTCCTTTTTCCCAACACGTGACCCTCCCCACTCCTTATCGTGACGTCATGCACGTGATGTGAGTTCATGGAATGTTGCAATGGTAGACAAAAGGGAAGAAAAATTAGCGAGTACATTAAACGCAGAAAAATTAAAGTTAACAAAAACGAAGTAATAAAGAAGTTGAATAGCAAACAAGAGAAACCGAAATTGGAATAAACTGATACATCCTAAGAAACGCGTGAAGTCTGGAAGTGGTTAAATGAAATTGTGAGATTAAACATTCTGCAAATCCTTTCGTAATAATAAAATCAATAGCAGTTTTTCAACGAATTCTTGCATGGCCTTGGACACAGCATGGCAAAATGACGCGTGTGTGCAAAGTCTTTGAATGTTTCTCATACGCGAAAGTCTTCAGTGCACTTATGCAGGAAACTAATAGACCTTGTATTTATATCGTAGTTTATTATTTGTGGCGAATTAAAAACACATGCTTGAATTTGTACAAAGAAATTATTGCAAAATTAAGCTCACTTAGCATCAGTATCATTTACGGGAAAGATTGAAATTTTCGACAGTATATAATATTTTGTCAGTAAAATTCAGCTCCAAGTAGTAATTAATCGGCACCGTTCCTCCACGTGCCATGAACTCAAAAGGTATACAAATTTCGAAGTTTCATTGCAGCGTGGTTATAAATTCAAGAATACCGGTACCTGTATTTTTGTGGTTTGTTACTCCATTTGTCCGTGACGCTGTTTTAAGAGCGTCATACAGAAACGTATTTTATGGAATTCCGTTTACAAAACTGCAAGATTGCAGTGCTACCTTTTAACCATTTCCTCCCACTGAATACTGCAACTTTGATTGAAGGCGCAAATTACGGTGGGAAACTTTGAGGTTATAAGTGTCAAATTTAACATAGTCTAAATCAGTATGTACTGGTAAAAATTATATACAGTAATTTATCACCAAATCATATAGGCCTTAGTTATTGATTTACAGTTGTTGCTATTCTCGTCAGCAGGAAAGCAGGCTTCATAAATCTTTTTTTCAGACCGTCTTGTTTATTTCGCTAAATATTCATATCAAACAGTCTGTCAAGCAGAAGTTTAACAACTCGTTAATATTTATGCCTGTATTTTTTGTTAGTAAAATGAGCCTCTCAGATTCAACGAGGATCAATTTCTTTCACATCTTCGCCCCTCTCCTCCTTCTCCTTCTCCATTTCCCTTATCCCGTTAGCACCTTTATCTTTTTTTCTCCGTTAAAGAAAGTGAATTTATCCTACAGATGGCACAATTTCGAACGTAGAGCTATCATTTGTATAAATACGCGAAAACTACACGTTTACGTGAAAACTGTGGATAAAAATTCGCGCCCAGCCATGTTTAATGCTGGCATATTCTGAGTCTGTTTTTATAAATAGAGGATGTTTACGTGTCCCTCAAGTGAGCATGTTTCTTTGTGTTAAAAGCGCTTGCGTCACATAGGATATACTCTACAGTATGTGTTCCATTAAGTTGAGTAATATATGTAAGGTAAAAAGTAAAGTCCTTGTACTTAATTAAGTCATACCTCGAAGATTTAAGAGGAACTTGAAGTATAGATCCATATGTACATATAGGTATACACTATATTGTAACGTGTCGGCTGTGTGGCGCGACACGAATAAGTTGCGTGGGTCTTCGGAGCGGAACGAATTCTTTATTGAACGCTAATTTGTACAATTATTCACTTAGAGCGATATTACACCCTTAGCACACTCTGGAACTCTTCTGTGAAGTCTGAGCACAACCTGCTTCTATCTCGCTAGAGTAGAATCCGAAACTCTTGAGTGCAAACTCAGAATCTCTGCTGTGATTTCACTCGGAATCTCTTGTGATACTTGTGACCTCGTGATACTCGAGACACTCGCCGGAGCTATACATATAGCCAGCGCTCGGACGGGATAGAGAATACCTTATCGAAGAGTTAGTTTCATCTGTTGCTTAGGAAATGCTAGCACAGAACACCTTGTAGAAGTGTTTGGTTTCATACGTTGTTACGCAACGGAACCTCTGTTATCCTTTCATCTCCGGGGAAACGCGTTTGTTTTTTCGGCAATTCCTATGCAACGGCCCATTGTTATTGCGTTTCCATGGAAGTATACTTTCCGGATTCACGACATGCAAAAGAAAAAACTTATATAATATATATACGCACAGTTCATGTTTGTGAACTGGATGCCAGCCACTGAACTTATAATATACCTTCATAAACACGGTGTAAATTAAGGTACTCGTACATTACGTGGGGTACGCGATAGCGTAGTTGGTTGAGGCACTGTGCTACAAGTCGGAAAGTCGCGGGTTCTAGTCCCGATGAGGTGGATTTTTTTCGACCCTGTGTTGCGACGGTTCGCAACCCCTTTTAGTTTTAGGAACTTTGAGTCTGATGTCTGGGGTCATGCCCTCTACTAAAATTTATAGCACGTCAAGAGATTGACCTGCTTCCACACAAAAAATGTTATATCTACCCCTGCCATTTTCATAAATTAATGGAGTCCTGGAGTGTTTCGTCTGGGACCTATCCTTCAACAACCGCTGGTGTAACTTGATCTGCCTGGGGGTTCATGTCTCGAGACATTGGGGTTCAAGCTTAGTTTAGATTAAGTTTTAAGAACAAGAGAGAAGTTGAAGGGGGCATTTTGTCTGGGTTGGAGCTAGGAGAAGGCTGGCCAGGCTTACGTCCGCCAGCGCTTGTATGTAATATACACACAGTCTCAATAAATCCTCTATAATCTGTAGTGAGTATTTGCTCTTTGTGGTTGGAATACACGCTCAGGCAGCCAACTGACAATCATCATCACTGAGTTATTACGCTACCGCTCGGCCACGTAATTCAGTCGACCAGCCAACATCTTGGGTCACGACACCTGGGGTCTACTCAGCCTATGACAAATGAGTACCAGGAATCTTCCTTGGGGGTAAAAGGCGCCCGACGCATAAGGCTGACAACCTTACCGCCATCTATGAGCCGATTGCCTAGAAGATGTGGAGCCTCAACCTCTGACAACCTTATGGGCCTTCACGGCCTGTTACAGGTATAGCTTTACCTTTTTTTGTACCTTTTTACCGTTATTACGACTGCCTTCATCTAGCGAAACTGCTGCGCTGTTCAGCGTATGAAGATTTAACAGTAAAGAATTCTGCAATGTGACGTGATATCCGTAAGAATGAGGTTCAATGGCGGAACTCTGTGAGAACGTGATGAACCTTCGGATTCCACAAAAGCAAAACATTTGTGCATCAGCAGAATATTCGTACATGTGGAATGCTCAAGGAGGGATTTGTACAACATCCGTAGTTACTATACAGTTCTTAGCACCACATTCCTTCAGATGCTGTCGGAAAGGGCGTGTTTTTACTGTTCTTGTACATAAAACCTGAATTCCACTTCGCTTGTGTGATAATTCAATCATAACAAGATATCGATGACACCAGAATTGAATTACTTTCATCATGCGCTATGCAGGATCAGAATAAGGCGGCCCATACACGTACGAGTCCGGCTCGGCGAGGAGCCGGGCTCGAATTAATTTCACCACACACATATGAGCGTGGCGACCCACATACGGACGAGTTCGGCTCATTGGAACCCGAGTCGAGTGGACTCGCGAGCCAGACTCGCACATCTATGGGCCCCCTTAGTCTCTTGTTCTTAGATCTGATAGGTGTATCTGGTTCTCTTTGCCTGCATTGTTTTTGTTCAAACGGCTGCTTTGCTATTCTGTCTTCATTTATGTAGGCCCGAAAAGTTTTAACCATTTCTTTTCGTGTTTTTCAGGTTCACAGATAGCCTCATGTTTGATACATTTTTTTTTCTAACATCTGTATTTCATTGGACCGCCTCTGTGGTCTAGTGGTCAGAGTTCCTGGCTACAGATCCAGAAGTCCCGGTTGCGATTCCCGGCGCTACCAGATTTTCTGAGAAGTAGTTGGTTAGGAATGGGGTTCACTCAGCCTCGTGAGGATAGTTGAGTTATTTCAAGGAAATAGCGGCTCCGGTCTAGAAAACCTAGATTAACGGCTGTGGGGATCCGTTGCGCTGACCATGTGACACCCTCTATACGCTAAAGTTGGTACTAACTTCTCCGACAAGCGGCGGTCGCTCTGTCGGTATAGTTTTCTTGCGGACTACAGGCCACGGAGTTTCTTCTTTATTTCATTGATGATCTAGTCTATTAAGAACCACTGAAATATTTTTCAGGGTACTGATACATCAGTCCTCCTCAGTAACACATTTCAAAGTAGATTCTGCTCTGATGTTATGTAGCGTTCTGTTTGTTTGTGAACATTTATTTGCGTAAATTTATCATTTATTTAGTTGAAAGATTTTTTATTTACACATTCCTTCCATGGTCGAAGGTAATGTATCACAAACAGGTCTACCTAAATTCTGATACTTGTTTTATAATTACACTGCCTGCCAAATTTGTTGTGAATCGACAGATGCATATAAAACTTGGTCACTGTAGCCTTGTTGTCTACGGTTTTGACAGCACTAAATCCGGTTTTAGAGTGTGATGCACATTCCCATTTTTCTGTTAGGCAAAGGCATTGCAATGGATCGATCCAAGGACTCCTGTCAAATATCTAAAGATTCTTAGTTACGTTAGTTAACTCTAAAAGCGAAGAGCCAGATGAATTAACCCGTGACTGAAGGAGTAGTATATAGTAATGCTAAGTTGGTTGCAATAGCGCGACATGATCTGTTTCATTCTATTAATTTAGGGCTAATTTAATGACGCTTTTCAGTAGCTCAGACTATGTGGCATGGAATTGTAGGATGATTATTGAATAACGAATTGAAAGAGATTTGAACGGAAGCGGTCGTGGCCCAATTTGAGGTACTTACTTACTTACTCATGGAGCTGAGCCCTTCTGGAGGAGCCGCAAATTCTGCAGCTACTCAAGAAATTTCCCAGAATTTTATGAAACCCGAAGGTTCATCACCGTGTTCACAAGAGCCCTCCACTGGTCCCTATCATGAGCCAGATCTATCCAATCCATACCATCCCATCCTATTTCTCTAAGATCCATTCTAATATTGTTCACCCACCTATACCTTGGTCTTACCTGTGGTCTCTTTCCTTCTGGCTTTCCCACCAATATCCTATACGCATTCCTCGTCTCCCCCATTCGTGCTACATGATCTTCCCACCTCATCCTCCTTGACTTGATCATTCTAATTATACTTGGAGAAGAGTACAAGTTATGAAGCTCCAATTTGAGGTACTGTCCTGTCATTTCCCTGAAGGGGTTCACGAAAAGCATCAGAATAGCCAGTTTCTGAGCCGATGTTCGAACCCGGAACCTCCCAGATGGAATGATGAATGCCAGCCATTCGACCACAACGTTTGGTTTCATGTTATTAATTCCGACTGTCGTCATTTGTCATCACGCGATCCGAAATGGATAGCAACATAATGTACTTATCGTGTCCGGACTGTGGGTCAAACAGATGTTCTGCCCTTCATCACGCGGTTGTTAAATTATTCATATGTAGGAGCAATTTAAAGTTCACATCTTATGTCGTGCCTTGTCGTAAGCTGGGCGCACTTTGACTTATGTGGATTCTTTAAAGTTTATAAAACTACGATCAGAAAACAGCTTTTCGTGGTATTGGGAAAGGCTGACCGAAGATGTTTAAATGCCCCTAAACAAAAACAAAACAAACTCCGTGGTTTTAGTCCGCAATTCAACTATACCGACCGAGCAATCCCATGGCCGTTAATTTCGGTTTTCTAGACCAGAGCCGCTATTTCCTTGAAATACCTCAACTATCCTCATAGGCTGAGTGGGCCTTGTTTCAGACCCACTACTTCTCAGAAGATCTGGTAGCGCCGGGAATCGAACTCGGACCTCTGGATCTGTAGCCAGAAACTCTGACCACTAGACCACAGAGGCGGTAAAATGTCCGTCAATGGTGATGTATAGGGAGCATATAAATAAAGTTTCTTGCACTTATAATTCAGACATTAGATGGATATGACATCAGTTTCAGGCTCCGGCCGCATTACGACGTGGAAAGAAATCCAGTTAGGAGGTTGCGTTGGACCAAGAGGACGTCTGGAAATGACGGCGAAGATAAAATATTTCTTCTTTCGGTAATCGAACTGTGACCTGCATTCCGCATCTGGTCACTTTGCAGCATCAGTCACCTCTGTCACTTCAGAAGGTATGT